TTACATGGACTTTCTATTTACTTTGCATAAAAATCAATTCTACATATTTTTTTTTATCTTTTATAGATCCAAAATAGCAGTTGTAGATAAGGAAATTATATTATATATACTCTCTTACGGTCTGTGTTTGTTTGGTTCGCGTGTAGTAATAATAATCTGTTTCTCATTTGTCGTGTTTCATTTTCGTAATGAGAGAAGCTCGAAGCTCCTCCTCAATGGATCTTCCCCAGTGTTTCTAGCAGCTCGGGAAAATGTCGAAGTCTTGGCTTCGTTTCCTGATTGGATTCTCTGGCTTGTTGATGCACGGTTACTTCCCGTTCCGCTTCCGCCTCCACCGCTCGAAGTGACCAAACGGCTAGAAGAGCTCGAAGTGACCAAACGGCTTGAGGATCGGCTATCGCTCGGTGCACCAGCGGAGCTTGGACGAGAGCTTGATGCAATGGCTCTCCTTGAAGAGCTTCCGTACCTTGAGGAACTACGTAGTTTTTCTGAGTCACCTTGCTGTGAGATTAAAAGCAAAAATACAATTTGAGTCTAGTGAGAGGGATTGCGTAATTCGGTTTAACCAGTCCAAACCATACTGATAAAACGATCTTAAAACCAAAACCTTAACCGAGAAAACAAGATTGAAACTAGCAAGGTTGCGAGGTTCGTAAAGAAGAAAGGTTTTTTACCGGGTGCTTAGACAAAGGCCCATCATCAGAGTTTCTTGATGCCGAGGGATCACGCGGTGTAGAAGTTGTTGGATGCCTTCTTGAGAAAGACTCGACCGCACCAGAGAACCTATCCCGGATTTCCTTACCTACAAAAATGAACAAAAAAAGCTTTAACTATTAAGAGCGTTGAAATATGGTTAGAGATTTCAAAAAAGAAAAAGAGGGAAAATTTACCAGCGATCCTTTCTTGTTTTTCAACAGAAAGTCCTGCGGTTAACCCCGGTTTCGCAGTTGTATGATTCTAAAAACAGAAAAAGTTTTACATTTTACGCTCGAGTCAAGAGAAAGTTAGTAATCAAAAGAAAAAGGCGACTAGATTACCCGTGTCCGTGAACTAGAACCAGAGCTGGAACCAATCTGAGGATACTTCAGAACTGTCCAGTCAAATACATAATCAAACTGATAACCTGCCATTGAGAATAAAAAAAGAACTAAGAAACTAGAAAGACGGTAGTGTTCTTCCAAAGTAAGAAATGTGCAATAAGAACCTTCTCGAATAAACAAGTCGCGGAATAGCCTCTTAAGGTAAGAGTAATCAGGTTTGTCCTCAAACCGTAGAGACCGGCAGTATTGGAAGTAGGAAACAAACTCAGCCGGTTGGTTTTTACACAAGACCTGTTCTTCACATCAATGCTAAGTAATCAAAGCTAGAAACAAACACAATAACCAAACTAAATGTCGTATTTTTTCAATACCTCTATAGGAGTTGATACTTTCTTCTCGCTAATTCTGTCATATTTCTGCTTCTTTGTCCCAGCTTTTAATCCTTGCCAGGGTAGACTGACGGCCATACAGTAAAGAAAAAAGTTTTAGCATTTTTGTATGAAAAGGTACCAAAATTGAGAATGAAGATCACAGAAGAAGTTTAAAGATCGGTATGGAAGCCGTAAACTGTTACCTTCCTTTAAGGAAGTACATAAGTACATAACCGAGTGATTCCAAATCATCTCTTCGACTTTGTTCTTTTGATACACCAGCAAGAGAGAATTCGTATCAGGACCGAGTACATGACGGCAGGAATATTAACTAATCCAATTTGATGAATCACTTACCAACTCCAAGGTGAGTGTTCACACTTGCATACCGCGCTGTTCCAGTGAGGTTTTTGTTTTCTCTACGCCAACATTTAATATTTACTCTTAAGCTACATTTCATATACCAACATCAATAAGAACAGATGCAAAGCAAACGGAATAACCTTTACCTGTATGGAATGTGCCTGTGAGTCTGAAGGTCTCTATATTTCTTCCCCAATCCAAAATCAATGATATAAACCTAAGGTATCAGGGAAGCAAGTAACTCAGAAGTCTAACCATAACAATTTTCTTGAATCAGTCAAATTTTTCTCTTAAATAATTCACATTCAAGAGCAGTCACACAGAATTTCTCCGAGATGATACCTGATTTGCTTTGCGTCCAAGTCCCATTAAAAAGTTGTCTGGCTTAATATCACGGTGAAGGAAACCTCTACTATGCATAAACTCAACTCTGTTAATCTGAAACCATGGAGAGATAACATTACTCATATTTCTCTGTTATGGAAGAACTAAGAAGAGCTCTTATTTTAAACCAAAGAAACTGCAAAGATATGTAATATACTCACTAGTTGGTCCGCAATCATGAGAACGGTTTTCAAAGAGAGTTTTCTGTTACAGTAGTTAAACAAGTCTTCAAGACTTGGACCTAGAAGGTCAATAACCATTACATTGTACTCTCCTTCAACTCCATACCACTTGATGTTTGGAACACCAGCTTCAACAATAGGGAATAGAAAACAAACAAAATTTAGGACGAATAAACAGTCGGTCAATCTCGTCTTTCGTTTCTTGTGTCATCCATTGGAACTACACTACAATAATTGACACAAAAAAATGAGACTTACTTCCTCCTTGAAGCAGCATATACAACTTTGACTCATAGTGGAGCTGGGGATGCTTGGTTTTCACAGATTCCTGATAATAGAATTGAGGG